ATATATATATATATATATATACACACACAAAAAAGTGGTCAAATATAGTAAAATATTATCGTTTATTATACGGTTTAAAATAACTATTTTCTACTTTCTTTACTCCAGTCTTCAGTGTCACATGTGACATGATCTTTCAGAAATCATTCTAATATGCTGATTTTTAGCTCATTAATAATGGTTCTTATTATCAGTGTTAAAAATTTTTTTGCTTTTTGTGGATTTTGTGTTTCTTACCCCTAAGTCCTGAGTGGTAGTGTACCACGATTTTGACAAAATATTCAGCTCAACTGTTTTCAACATTGATAAACTTTTTTATTGAGCAGCAAATCAGCATATTAAAATGATTTCTGATGAATCATGTGACACTGAAGAATGGAGTAATGATGCTGAAAATTTAGCTTTGCATCACTGGAATAAATTACATTTTTTATATTCAATAATAAAATATTCTAATAATATTTTACAGTATTACTGTTTTTACTGTATTTTTCATCAAATAAATGCAGCTTTTGGTGAGCATATGAGAGTATATAAAACATACCAGTGTCAGCCCAGTACAGTTTATTCCCTTCATCTGTCAAGATCAGTGAAGTTGGCCGGACTGAATTACTCCACACCACTGTCCTGTTCTGTCCATTCATATAGGCACACTCCACCTGGGTCATGTGACCTTCCTGGATTTTGTTTGAGAAGCAGAGGCGTCCGCTGGGTGGGTCTAAAGCAATGGATTCAATAGCTCCGACACCGTCCTGTATTATCACACTGGTGTGTGCACCATCCGGTGAGGTGACCTGCAGGCCAGGCAGCTTCTCGCTGCTCCAGTACACGTTCAGGGTGATCCAGTCCACTGAGAACGTGCGCAGCGAGTCCTTATGTAGCTGGAGCAGTTTCCCACGTGGCACCAGCGTTGTGTCCTTCATCTTGAAGAGCCCCACGACAGGCTGCCCGTCATCGGCCACGTACAGAGTGAGGTCACGCAGCACTAAATCTAACAAGGTTGGCTTGTTCATGCTGGGAAGGTCAAAACGCCGATGTTCAGGCCAGTTCTTTAGGTCCACGGCGGCGTGTCTGTTCTGTAAATAAATCTGAGAGAGACAAATTGTATTAAAAAGTCTAATACACTTACGCACCACATTAGTGCTGTCAAACAATTAATCACGATTAATGGCATCCAAAATAAAAGTTTTTATTTACATAATATATGATCGGTTTCTATTTATTTGCAGCGTTGAGCAATGTAGCTAATTACAGACATATCTGCTTATTTCTTGAATGCAACAGCGGATCAGTTAGAATGTAAAGCATGTCAACATATTCTGTTACACAAAATAATGATCTTTAAAATAGCATCATATGACCCCTTTAAGTTAGAATCCCCTCACCGCTCAAATTGCTGGAGTTTTTGTTCAGGTGTTCTGTTCAGCACAAATCATTTCATTATAACTAGACGCGATGTAAATAGAGTCATTGTGCAGCATAGAGAATCTAATTGATTATCACATAACTTCGTGAGATCGCGAGTGATTAATAAAGGAAGCGTTATTTGTGCCATAGCAATACACATACATATATATACACATATACATACATACATACATACATACATACATATATATATATATATAATAAGGTACAGAACCCTCACTAATTTAAGAAGCACCCTCAGTGATTTGATTCTGGAGCCGGGCCTGATAATTTGGAAACATAAGCAGGGCTGTAGAGATCATGTATTACTATTATTATTATTATTTTATTAAATGTCCATTTACTTCATTGGAAACTATTGTTGTTTCTGGATGGAATGTTTTTGCGTTATTTGTGCCATAGCAATACATATACATTATATATATATATATATAATAAGGTACAGAACCCTCACTAATTTAAGAAGCACCCTCAGTGATTTGATTCTGGAGCCGGGCCTGATAATTTGGAAACATAAGCAGGGCTGTAGAGATCATGTATTACTATTATTATTATTATTTTAATAAATTGTGATGTTAAAAAAAATGATAATCTTTTGTTGGTCCTGAAACACCACAACACTGCTCTCAAACAGAAACAGTCCTAATCCTATTTCTGACCTTATGCTAGAATCAAAGAGAAAATGTTTGAATTGTCATTTCTTGATTAAGCATCGCATAGTCTAATCTTAAGACAAATGACATGAACTGCACTATTATGAATTAGTCAATTAATGAACATATAGGACTTCTAACATCTAGCTTTGACCATAAGGTATTAACAGCAACACCTGTGTGACTGCAGTTGGAGAAAGAAACAGCAGGAAGGACGAGTCTTTGTGTTTGGAGCAGGTCAGTCCATCTTCATTCAGCAGCAACTGAGACGGACACTTGCACACAGCCTTCAGCCCCGGCGATAAAACACACAGGTGAGAGCAGTGCTGGGAAGCACACGGGTTAGGGACGCCCACTTGGAAAAATGCATGAATGACCTGCAGATGCACACAAGCAGCAGTTACCTGATTTACATCTTATGCATCTTTCAAAGCAAGCAAATATAGCCTGTACTTTACAAATATCTGAGGGGTTTCCATTTGAATTTAATGATCACTGTGTTCAGGAGTACTTGCCTTCAAACCGAATGGCTGTCCAAGACGTTTGAGCAGGACTTGGTGTAATTTGCCCGTGATTTTGTGAGCTCTCTGAATAGTTCCTCTTTTGGTATCAGACCAGTAGACCTCATCATTGAATACAGACACTGAGAATGGACTGGGGGTCTCCATCATCTGCAAGAGCTGCGGAATTATGGAAGATGGAAAGGGAAAATGTCTGAAAAATGTTTTTAAAAGATGCTGGAATCTAAATAATTTTTGACTCTTAGATCCTTCATTTCATTAAAAGACCCATATCTGATAGCTCACCCAAAATGAAAATTCTGCCATCATTGTATATTGAAGATATTTTGAAGAATGTGGGTATTGGATAACCAAACAATACTTCCATAGTGTTGGGGGGGGGATACTATGCAAGTCAGTGGCTACCATCAACTGTTTGGTTACCCACATTCTTCAAATTCTAAAAAGAGTAATTAAAATTTGATTAGGGTGTCTGTACTCAGGTAATTGATTTGTGTACTTCATCCACCACTCCATCTAAAAGACTCTTAACATTAGACTGATGGACAGGAATGTTTATCCAGAAACATTCTACAAGGAAAGCAACCGCAAACAGATTAGCAAATCATGTAATGTTTCGCCCTATTAGACATTTTCTAAGATGCTGAGGTGGACACATCCACTACCTTAATATCTCCTCCATCAGTATCGGCTGATCCGATGCACTTGAGTTTCTCATCTGTCCAGTAGATTCTGTGATGCAGGGAGTCCACCGTCAAACTGACCGGCCATCGGAGAGAGTGACTGACCAGCACACGTCTGTCTGAGCCGTCCATTCCTGCTCTTTCTATTTGAGCCTCGTCCCCAGTTTCTGACCAGAACATAATTCTGAAAGAAAGACAAATATCAGGGCCAACTTACATCGTAAGTAACATGCTAAAACAGTGGTTCTCATGCTTTGTAGTGCCCACTGGTGGCTCTGTAAATAAATTAAAAAAATGTGACAAAAGCATGATTATTCAAACCCTTCCTGTGGCAGCAGAGCGATGGAGCGGAGCTGCCCTAGATCTTCACCCAGGATCACCACACTGTGTGTGGTTCCGGTGGCATCACTGTCCAGTCCCACTGCATTGATCTGGCTGTTGACGCCATCGGCCCAGTAGAGGTTCCTCGCCACCCAGTCCACTTCCAGACTGTCTGCATTGATACCTGACACAGAGAGAGAGAGAGAGAGAGAGAGAGAGCGCAAAACTTTAATACATCAACACATGACCAGCCTTATTTACACCCGTTTTGTGTTTCTGCAACATGACCTGTCTAGTCATGGTCAGGCAGTATGTAAAATCAAATCAGATTTTATATGTAAGGGATAATGTACATCCAGCCGGTTGTTATCTCAGAATAAACCCCGACTCCCGACCCCGATCAGGACCCGCGAAGCGGAGGGGTCTTGTATCAGCCTGAAGGGGGCTGAAGTCTTCCCTTGTAACTCGCGGTGGTTAAGTGTTTTCAGTCACAAGATGGCGCCAGACAGTCAACGATAGCGGAGTGACTCGTTAAGGATATAAGTAGTACCGGTCAAGATAACTCCTAGTACCCGGATGAGCGGTGTGTTATTCAATTTGGCGGTTGTTATCTGGGAATAACATACCGCTGGATGGCGCGATTGACCAATCAGAATCAAGTATTCCACAGAGCCATGTAATAAAGTGCTTTATACAATACAGACCGTTTCAAAGCAGCAATTTCAGCTGTAAAGCAGCTCTAAAAAGACAATAGTGTCATTATTCAGTTCAATTTAGTTCAATGTTGTTTCAGTTCCATACAGTAACAGTGTTAATGTTGCAAAGTTCATCAAACATAAAACAATTTTAATTTATATTATTTATATTTTTAAGTTTTTTATTTTAGTTAAAAATTGTGATTTTGTATGTGCTTTTGACATAAAATTTATAATTTAGTTGCCAAGGAAATATTTCTAATTTTTTTTTTTTACACATTTAAATTTATTATGTAATATTTCTATTGCATATTTTATTTAATTTCATTTACAAAAAAACGATTTTAATATACATACACACGTGTATGTATTTGTATGCATGTTTATGTATGTACTTGTAGTTAACAATAACACTGACCTTTAATAAAGGTTCCTTTGCTCTTCTGATCCAGTGACAACCATTTTATGTTGTCCGCGTTGAGGTTGATCCAGTACACTCTCTGCTTCTGCCAGTCATAGTCAAGTGACAGGACAAAATGCTTCTCTGACGAGAGCAGGACGTCCAGACTGGAGCTCCTCAGACCCAGCAGGAAGACCTCAGACTGCACAGACGCCAGCAGGTACGGCTCACCTGAGACAGGAGCACAAGTTTCAATTAGAGTCTCAGCTTGAGTAAAGAAGGGTGAATGGATGTACCTTGAAGTGCATGAGTGTATTAGAAATGTCATTATATTGTGAAAGTGCATTATAATGTGTATTCAAGCCATACTCATGATCTGAACACTCATGTGAAATATTCTAGCCCACAATGCAATGCACTTTTTTGAATGAATGACGCATTTATATAGCATACTACATTTTGTTGCCTAATGCATACACTCTTACCATTTTTATAAAATATAGAGTGTATACAGCTCCGTTTGCATGCCATTCTGAACATGGCCTATGTTTTATATATTTGCTCTTGCTCGTAATGTATATACCTGTGATTTTGCAACTGTGGCCATCAGGTTCCAGAACATAACCGTGACTACAAGAGCACTCAAATGAGCCCTGAGTGTTGTTACAGTAGTGTGAACAGAAGTCTGGACGGTCCACACACTCATCCACATCAACACACACCACACCATCATCCATAGGCTTGTAGCCCATCCTGCACCAACAGCGCTATAGAAAGAAGAAAAGCAGTGGACAGGAAGCACAAAATGGTAAGAAACTGCCTATTAATTAATTGCTTATTAATAAAAGGCCAAGCACCAAAGTGAGAGAGGTTGTATCTGATATTGGTGTACTATACAGAAACGAAGGTTATTTACATAATGTCTACAGTATGTTTACATAGTGGCTACTGCCACCAACTGGTCAACATTGATAAAATGCTTTTCATTTATGCCTTTTAGAAATTTTCATTTTTAAATAAAAAATAACCCCCCAAATTGTTTAAAAAATTTTTTTTTTTTTTTTTTGAGATCTCAAACCTTAGAGTGTAATGTATTAACATCTGACTGTGGTCAATGGTTGTAGAAATTATTCTTTAGATCCTTCAAAACCTAAAGTACTAAACTTATTATAAAACGAATAGTTCCGGTCCTTGATTCTGATTGGTTGAGCAGCGTTCGAAGCTGTTGTAAATTACACTACAAACATACACCTTTATTTACTTCTGTGTGTTGCTCGGCAACCACTTTGTTGGAACCACAACGGTTTCTGAGGAACTACATTGTCTGGTGGAAGAATACTGTTTTTATTTATATCATTACACTTTATTTATTTTTTATTATATACACGTTTTATTCTGTGAAACCTTACTACGTATATGGAATTTTTATAAAAGCAATCCGCTTCGCGTCGTGCCTAACAACGCCCCTCAGCTGTTATAAATTCACAGTAAACCACGGCTTCTTGGGGGTTATTGCTTTAACATACACTACCATTCAAAAGTTTGGGGTCAGTATAATTGTTTTTCCCAAACCAATTACTTTTATTCAGCAAGGATGTGCTAAATAGATTTAAAAATGACAGTAAAGACATTTATAATGTTACAAAATATTTATATTTCATATAAACGCTGTTTCTTTGATACTTTTTTTTTTTTTTTTTTACTGTATTTTTTTCCCCAAATAAGTGCAGCCTTGGTGCAGAGACTTCTTTCAACTACATTATAAACATCTTATTGTCCCCAAACTTTTGAACTGTAGTGCAAGTTATTATTAGTCAATTTCTATGACTGGTAGTTTTTAATATTCAAAACAGACATTTCTAACATTAACAGAAAGAGGAATTCATACCGTGCCTGTAGGTGTGCTGTGGCAGTCCTGTGCACACTTTGACCGTTCAGAGCATTTGTCTGTCTGGCACGTCCCGCCCTCATCAGAACCGTCCAGACAGTTAGTGACCCCGTTACAGAGCTGAGACGGTTCCACACACCCTGAACTACCACACTGGAACAGATGAGGAGGACAGGACACACTCGGACCTGTCAAAACACACACCAGCTTCAGATTCTTTTCAAATGGACTTTGAGAGTCATTCCACAGGAATAATTGGCAGAATACAGAAAAACATCAAAAGGTGGACAGAAATGCTATTTACATAAACATTATGCAGTTGGGGGTTTCAGAGGTGATTTAATGATATTACACTATCATTCAAAAATTTGGGGTCAGTAAAAAGTTAATATTTTTAGTCAGCAAGGATCCATTAAATTGATCAAAAGTGACAGACTTTTACATTTTTACAAAAGATTTCCATTTAAAACAAATGTTGCTCTTTTGAACTTTCTATTAATCAAAGAATCCGGAAAATGTATCAATTTTCACAAAATTATTGATAATAAGAAATGTTACAAATCAGTATATTAGCCTCTTGAGACCCGGCAAAACATTTTAGGAAAAAAAAATTGTATTTTTTCATGTCATTACATTGTTTAAAGCATTAAAAAAAAAAATGTAAAAAAAAAAGAAAAAAAAAAGATATTTCATTCATAAGTTATGCTATGTCCTTGGTAGAGGACATCGGGACTCAACTGTTTTTTTTTTTTAAATGAAAAGACATGAATGAACATGCATAAGCAAAAACAATTGATTTTTTAAAAATAATACATTTTTAGTTTTCAGGATTTTTTTTTTTAACCAAGATAATATAAAGATAATTCTCAACTATGTTATAACAGAATGATTTGATATACCATTTTTCTTTATGCAACGTGTGTAAAATGGCCATAAACAGGTTCTCATTATATATAATGTATCTATAATCTAAATCTAATTTGCATATTAATGTGTTTTTGGGGCAACATGTAATGAAAAAAGAAGTGTAATAATGGGAGTAATAATTGACAAGATTTTCATAATAATATATAATATTTCATAGGAATATTGAAATAT